AATCGTAAAGAGAACATGACTGTTCTCCACTAATGAGGATTACGGGCCCATTGGGCAGGAACTGTCTCAACCACATCTTATAGCGGTATGCTTACAGACTAAAATGTAAATGAGCTCATTATAGTCCGTGTGCTCTTCACCCTGTTGCTCAAAGAACATCACATGTCACGGGTTGGCCTAAAGGGTCACAGAGATAATAAGCTTCAGTCAAAGTGGACCCGTTTGATGTTGACCACCTATGGAACTCAGAGAGGGCGTCAGGCAGACTTTCGTCTAAAGAGACGGCGCTAGCCGTAAGCTAACGCTAACCTTTATAAACCGCTTCTGCATTCACATGGAGCATCAGAAGGCAATGGGAGGAGATTTGGGCATCAGAAACATTCAGGTTTCTCCGTGTGGAGAGCAAAAGAAGTGGAATCTCAGAAGCCAGCGGCTACCTTTCTGTCGATGATTTCACTTTTTTTTTTTTATTGGTTTAAAATGAGCTATATCTGCTGCCTACACCGGATCCCTAGAAATATAGCCCCTTGCACCCAGAGGCTTATCCGTCGTCACACCGATAGCTGATGGGTTCCCAGATTGGCTTTTAGCTAATTAAAAAGATTAACTTAAGTAAAGATGGATTATGGAGTTAATATCTGCTATTTGAGAAGGACTCGAATTAGTCTCTGTCTGTGAAGTTGCAGAGAGAACTGCACAAAATGTCTAAGAAGGGAAATGAAATATTAAGTAGAAAGATGATGAATGAGTTCTTTCTTTCAATAATCCAATGTTCTACAACAACTTTAAAGGGAGAGTTTGAGTTTTTGTAGTGGGGTTGTATGCTTCCGACACGCCCCCACTTTGGAGAGACACGAGTTGGAGCAAACAAAACAATGTACTGCTGTGAACGGGGGCAGCAGTGAAACATATTCAACCGCCTAACGAATAATCTATATCAGAATATCTTCACTGCTATATCGTGCTGTCAGACAGCCATTTCCATTTCACTTAGACGAAGCCGAACTAACCCTTTAAAACTAAAATCACACATCAACGATCACGGCATCATCAGATCAGCAACTCCAGTGTTCTGTGCGGTAAAATTACTGTTTTTGTCAACCGAGTCTGGTGCCTTTGATGAAAGCACAGATAACAGCTTCAGTTCTCTGTCGCAAAGAGCTGTCTGTTGACGAGTTAGAGCAATTAAAAAACTCTAAATATAGCTAGTCAACCAAATAAGAATTATTTCACAGTATGTGGCCAATTTATAGACATGAGACTAGAAATAACACGACACCTCTACAGAGGCTGCCTTGCTAATTGACAAATGACTTTTTTTTTCTTGCAATGCGGACACTTACAGGTCATGATCAAAGACGAGTATGTGTCACATCTTACACAAGTACTTCTGCACGATTTCACACTATATTACAAAAAGGTCACAAGAACAGTATGAGTAACCGGTTGATTACGTCACATATACATGCCTATAAATAAATATATATATTAGATAACTTTATTTATAAGAGTATATAATGAGCACACAAGCAGTTGATATTATACGCAACCTAAGGGAAACTAAATGTCATGCACTGGTGGAGAGCCGATGAGCCCCGGATGATGTCATTTATCTACTGTAGTAAATCTAGAGTCATTTACTGTGTCGTTCAGTACTGCCCACAATCAGCATAGTTAAAAGAAAGTAGATCTGTTTCCCTTACTTTCCCTAAAAGCTGGTTTGTGACAAATCCGTGTGTAGTATTTATGTGTACAATCACGCGCTATGTAGTGAGATAAAAGTAGATCAACGCCTCACAAAAGGTTCAGCACCATCACACTGATCAAAGGGGTTGTGAGACGGTTGCTGCGAGTCACGTACTTGGTGATGGTGCCATCAATGTCGGAGATAATGACTTTGTCGTCCCAGTTCCACAGGTAGATTGTGCCCTCGCAGCGGCATGTGCCCTGGTACTGGGTGGTGATGCTGAACGTCACATCATTAGGTCCTTCCTTTAGTTTCAGACTGGCCTGGTAACACAAGGAAGACGATCAAAACACCTGGAGGCACCGGCAATATCATCCACTGACGTGTGTTCCAACAGCATAGGCATTACTCTCCAGTAGGATTTATTTTTGCCACAGTATGAATGAACATATGCTGGTCTTTAGCGCCCCCTACAGACTGTAAGTGGGACTAACACTACGGAGGCCATAGCTAGCCAGCAGAGGGAGCGCTAATCTACAGCAAAAAACATTAAAGCACAAATCTAAGAGTGCTATCCACTTCAGTTTGTAATCTAATCAAACTACTTGTTACACGTTATTTGAATATGTAACCATCAAATCAAAGTACAGATTGATAATACTATGACAGTACTCTGCAATACTTTTAAGAAGTTGGCTAGTTGACTGAGGAAGGGAAAGACATGTGTAAAGAATGTACTTACTATCTGATCAGAGGAGAGGCGTAGTGACTTCCTGTAGGTGGGTTGGCCTGGGTGGTGCTGACCATCTACTGGCTGCAGTCTCTCCTGACAAGATGCAGCGCTCACTTCCTTGGCATCTTCATCACTGGACGAGTCTCCTGCTTTAGGACTACAGGGAAAACAACAAGAATCAGTGTCACTTTTTACTGTATATAGATAAATTGCAAGTAAAATACAGGTTAATGTTACCGTTAGCAAACCTATGCATCGATCCCATTTGATTATTTTGTGCAACTTCTAAACTATAGGATTCAAAGCTCATTAAACTTAACCTTTCAGCTGTCTAACCGTGCCAAAAACACCGTTGTTTTGTCGACTTCAATCTCCAACAATATAATGCGATCATGCTGAGCTCGTCATAAAAACAAGAGATTCATAAAGCTTTGGATTTTTTTTACAATGTCATTCAAGAGTTCAGCATGTCACTGAACTCACTTGACTTGACTGAGTATTCATAAACTTTGATAGCACTTACGGCAAAAGCAGTTTCTCCTGAGACATGGAGGGTCCTTCCTCCTCCAGATGACACTCCTCCTTGGTTTCAAGCTTAGTCTCTGACTGGAAGAGTAAAAGAGGAAATATCCCAAGATATAAAGTAAATATAAAATCTAAAGAAACGGATAGATTTGCAGTGTGTCTTTAATACTAATGATAACGTGCACACCTGCTTGATTGTACTATCGGCCCTTTTTCGCCAGAACCACCAGCGGCCGGACTTCTTTGGCATTTTCTCCTTCACCCAGGCCTCCTCTGTAGCCTAGGATAAACAGTTAACGATGACCTCGTTAGAAGTTGACAATGATCCAGATGTAATCACAACAAATGGAACAGAAAACCAAGATCACAGTTACCTTTGGTAAATTCTTCTGAAATGCTTGTAGACTTAAAATCAAGGGTGCAGCTAGAGTCCAGTTATAATATCTAAGAAAAAAGGCATTAGATAAGAGATAATATTCACCACACACTCTTGTTCATTTCACGTGTGGGAAGAAAAAAAAAAAAAAAAAAAAAAAAAAAAAAAAAAAAAAAAAAAAAAAAGGCTTACTTACCTATTTCCTATCTTTACTACCAGGTTGGGGTTATCTATAATTGCTGGATTTTCAGCAAATTCAAGATAGGTGAGGATATGTTCCATGAACCTTTCTGCAAACACAGAAGGGAGTGGAACATTAATTAAAGTCAGCAGATGAAAGGTCAGTGGTGGTGAGCCGTATCATCGTACTTAAAGCCACACAGAGATCGGGGAACTTTCTTTTCATCCATTAGCCTCATCAGCTGAGGAAGAAACACTTCCAGAAGAGTGTATGAGACACAAGAGAGTAAGTACCGGTGGGATTCACACCCATTCAGATCGACACGTGTGGCCTTAAAGGGCAATGTGGGCACAAGCATTGTTACAGTTACACACACACACACACA